CAAAAGCCCGACCGGGTATTCAGCTAAAAAAACATTCTACCTTCCAGAAAAGCAAATACCCATTCGGGTATTACAAGAAAACCGGTCGGGCATAAATAAAGGAAAAGGCAAAAAATAGCCTAATACCCGACCGGGTATTACGAAAACCCGATCGGGTATTTAGCCAAAAAGGCTTCTGCCTACGGGAAATGGAATACCCATTCGGGTATCACGAAAAACCCGGCAGGGTATTTGTGCGAAAGAACCTCTTTTTACGGGATTTCCTCCCCAAATCCTCCCCCAACCCCCATCTTCTTCTTCTCTCCCAAACAACAAACCCCCCAAACCTCCATAGCCAAACCTCCCAAGCTCCAAATCCATCCCAATCATCCACCAAAAATCCAAATAAACTCCATTTTCTTCTTCCCCACATCATCCTCTCCATTTCTACACCCACAAAAAACCCCACACACCCCAAAATCCCCAAATCCGAAAACCCTATACCAAAATCCTCAAGGTCCGATTTTCCCTCAAATTAACCCAAATCTAACCTCATTTCTTCTTCCCCACATCATTCTCTACACCTCCACACCCTCAAAAACACCCAATTCTCAAAAAGTCCAAATTTTTCACTCCACCAAATCCCAAGTCCGAAATTCCAACCCCCAAGTCCAAGAAAAAGTTAACTATGGCACCTAAAAGGACTAGAGCATCTTCCTCCAACTCAAGTGCTCCAATTCCACAAGTTCCGGGGTATGAAAGCATCGAATTCACGTCTAGGGCTCATCACAAGAAATTCCTCACCCAACTCAACCGAGAGGTACATTCCACACGATTTCTTTGTCATGAAACATTGCGAGCATTGATGTTGTATGATATGATGCTAGAATTGTGCAACAACATAGGACTTACTACATTGTTCCACATGTCCTATAATATCTACAAAAGAATTATGTATGGGTTCCTAGCATCGGTTGAATTTACTGAGGATATAGAGGACACCTATGAGAGCAAACTCACGTTTCGGTATAACAACATACCAAGAACTTTAACGAAACGTGAGTTTGCCGAGCTATTTGGTCTACCGGTTTTAGGTGTGGAGGAAAGAAAGGTAAGAATTGATAAGACCATTGTGCATGATTTGTGGCGAAGAATGACAGGGGTTAGGGTGTTTAAATCTTCACATATGCATATTACACATGTTCAACACCCTTCCCTTCGAATCGCACTAAAATGGTTTGGGTATCATGTCTTTGGGAAGCCAAATAATCATCAAACAAGGATTACTGAATTGGCCGTTCTTGCTATGGGTATCTTCCCAGAAGCTCCTAGATTAGATCTTGCTTCATGTTTGTGGGACCATTTAAAAAAGGAATGTGAAGCTATGGGTGAAATTTTCATAGGAGGGTACATACATCATATATGTACCAAATTTGGCTATTGTGCAAATAGACAAGTTCAAGATTGGAATTTCCTTAATCTTAAGTTTCTACTCACTGCACATGACTTGAGTCACTCCCACACCATTGGGACCACAACATTTTACCATTGGACCATAAACCCCTGACCCACACAACTTTTTACAATCCCCTCCGATGAACTTCCAAACATCTTTAACCATCAACTCGGGGATAGGAGACATCTTTGCCTACCCGGAACTACTCCTGACCACTATCTTTATGACATCCCTCAACTTGAGCCACCACCCAGCCCCGAACAACCACAAGAAGAGCCACAACCCGATCCCCAACCCCCTCAATACACCCCCTTTGAACAACAAATGTTGGCCGGTATACAACAACTCAATCTTAACCAAACGGCAATGAACACACGCATTGACGATCTCTACAGTGCGTACCAAAGGGTGGAAGACGATCAAAGACGGGCCTTCGGGCCTATGTATGCATATTTTGACCAGCAAGGGTACTTTTCTCACATGCCCACTCCAGTCCAACATCCTACATGGTATGACCCCTCACATTGGGGTAATTTCAGAGGATCTAGCTCCGGAGGAGGTGGACAAGCTGGCGGTGATGGTGTTGACAGGGATTTCGGAGGTGGTGATGGCGGATATGGCGGCAGCTCAGACACAAACGATGACGAATACCCATATACAGGCGGTTTTCATGACAGCTACTATGGTCAGGGTGGATTCTTTGATGGAGGAGATGCGGGCGGGCACTAGGGGCAGTGCCATGAACTAGATGGGGGGAGAACTATTCTGGTATGCTCCCATTTCATACTCTTTATTCTTGCTATATAAAAACAAAAACCAAAAAAAAATATTTAAGCTTGTTAGGTTAAAAACCCAAAAAGGGCAACTTAAGCAAAATAAAAGCAAAAAAGAAGAGTGAGTTGGGGAGAATTAAAAAGTAAAATGTGGGAAGCTGGGATGAAAACCCGAAAAGGGCACCTAGGCAAAATGAGAGAATGAGAGAAAGTATTTCTTTTATATTTGCAGGATCCTAAGGGTACACATAAGGAGCAAAAGAAGAGGAACACAATGATGCTGAAGACCTTTTATTCATGTGTTTTGATCATTGAAACATTCTTTTATGTTGATTTTCAAAAACACTTGTGAATGGTTGTAATTGCTACAATTGTTGGTTTGGAAACTTCATGGACAGGATTTGTTTTACTCGAGACGAGTAAAAGTTCAAGTGCGGGGGTGTTTGATAGGCACTAGTTGTTAGTGCCTAAGTATACATTTTTATTATTGTTTGTAGTGTTTATTTACTAGTTTTGTGCAAGTTTATAGTTGTGAGTTTGCATTTGATTGTAATCATATTTCTAGCATTTTATTGTTTGTTGTAAGTTGTAGTTAGTTTGGTTTTAAGTTTAGGATAGGTTTGGAAGCAAAAAGGATGAAGAAACCTGAGTTTTGTGCAAAACCCGGTCGGGTATGGATTTTACCCGGCCGGGTATGAAGTGACAAAGGAAACTGCTGCAAACTAGCAAATACCCGGTCGGGTATTCCATATACCCGGTCGGGTATTCTGTGATTTCAGACCAAAAGACGTGCAGAAGACACAAAAACATGGGAAAATATTTGATTAGGTAAATACCTGGTCGGGTATGTCAAAATACCCGGCCGGGTATCCGGCATTAGGTGTTGAAAACACCTATAAATAGCCCCATTTTCCTTCATATTTCAGCATCCCTTCTTCCATTCTCTTTAGCTCAGTTTAGAATAGCATTTCTTTATATTTTCTAGCTATGTTTAGCCTCCAAATGAGGAGCTAAACTTCCATTCTTGGTTTTGCTCTTGAAGCTTGTTGATTATTAAAGTTGTGAGTTATTTTCTTAACTTCTTCTCTTGATTATTAATTCTTCCCTTAATCTCATTCTATATTAATGTTGGAGGGTTGCTAAGTGACGATTAGTTAACGTTCCGACATTAATTACTACTAGAAACGATCAATGAACCGATGGTTAATCGTTGGTGGTTTCACAAGTAAGTAACTTCGGTTTATTAATGCACGGTCGTGGTTAATAGACTTAAGAGGGATCAATTTTGTTGGTTAAACCGAAACCGTTGTGTTAAGGTTATCAATCTCAATTGATTTCATCAAGGAGTTAAAAAGATTGAATGCTACTATTATATCGGTATACGACGTTGTTCTATATTTGATTAATAGTAAGGGTTATTAATGAACGGTCGTTGTTAATAACTACCCTCGATGAATTGGAGATACTCCTCGATTGAGTATTCAAGAGGGGATAAGTTATAGATATAACAAGGATCGACTAAAATATATCAACAAGTGGAAAGTAGCAAAGTCAAGTCCCTTTTATTCTTGAATTAAACACATATAGGTTGTTCATCTTAGTTTCTTAATTGAATTAAATCACTCAAAACCAAAACCCCCCTTTTAATCACTAGTTTCATAAAAAAGAGAATCATTCCTTTCCTTGTGGATACGAACTCTACTACGCTATACGCTATACTAAAGTGTAGCTTCCTCGGGTTGGGGTCGTGTGTGTGAGAGCTTTGTTGTAAAGTTGATAGGCTCTCTACCCGCAAGGTAGAGATGCATAACTCTTCCTAGAGAGAATAGAGTTGGGGTGGCTCAATGGTAGATTAGGAGAATTTACCTTGTAACCACAAAAGGCTTATTAGTGAAGTTGTTGAAAATTCCCCTGAGGGAGGTCGAGGTTTTTTAATCCCTTTGAGCCAAGGGATTTTTCCTCGTTAAATCCTTGTGCACTTTACTATTTCACATTTCCCTGGACCCCACACTAGAACTGTGCGAAAAACTACCACGGTTCCACTCACAATTCACCCCCCCCCCCCCCCCTTGTGTTGCTAACCATTTCATCAGCTACGTAGCACCAATACGGGAATGAGGAAACGGGTACGGGGATACGACAAAATAAAAAAAAAGTAGGATACAAATATGGGGTATATTTATAAATATTAAAAGTTATATATGGAGGTGTTTTTATAAATATTAAAAATTATGGAGTGTATTTATAAATATTAAAAGTTACAACATTTTTATTGAAAATATATATAGACATATATTATCCCTTATTCATTCATGACATTGAAATATTTCACATCAACAACATAGTTAGAAAGAAATTCATATTTTATCTCATATACGTTAGTGCATCTCGAAATATAAATATAGTCAATAAATCACTAATTTGAATTGAGATACAATTCAAACAACCACATTTTTAAATTTAAAAATGCAAGTAATCAAAGTTATTGGATAAAAGATTCTCAATGAAGACAGAAAAAATACTCTACTAAAAACTAAAAGCTCTAAAAAATATTTCTAAAGATTTTTATTATTTATTTTTTGGGAATTTTATTAAAAAAAGTTGATGTGTGAATCTATCGGGATTCGTGTATCCGGATTTTTAAAATAATTACCAAAAAAGTTGAAAACTTTTATTAAATTACAGATACAGCCCGTATGACACTAGTATGCTAGAGTATCTAATAGAGGAACCTCTCTGATATAGTACCCTAGTCAAGTATCGGTGCTACATAGGTGGTGAATATTTGAAAGGAACAAATTTATTTATTTATCTTAAAAATAACAAGATACATAAGACTTGAGTAATTAAGGGGTTGTTTACTTTTTTCTATCAAGTCCTGTCTGAACTAAGATGTTTGTCTTGATTAAGGCGTCTGTCTGTAGCCTTTTGTGCCATTTCTAAACGGCATGGTACAATATAGTTTCAAGCTTAGAACTGGACAATATCAAACTGTTTAAAACCTCATTGATACATTATGGGGTTTGCTAATATATTCCGCGCGATCCTCGGACCATTCCAGACCGCACTCAGTCATACATTTTACAACTATCGAAATCTGGTGTAGTTTGATATATTTAAATCTAGTTTGATTTGTCATAATCTATTTATTTTTGGAGGGAAAAATTCTAAAGGTACACACTTTTTTGTGTACACACTTTTTACACATGTCTGTGTAAGTTTTTTTTTATGTCTGTACAGACATAACGTGTTTTAAAAACACGTAATGTCTGTACAGACATAAAAAAAACCTTACACAGACATGCGTAAAAAATGTGTACACAAAAAGTGTGTACCCCAAGTCCAACTCTTTTGGAGGTCTCTAGTTTGAACTCCAAACAATCCCAGTAAAAACGTGTTGTACACCCTATAATAGATAGTCATAAATTCAAAAATTACAAATTATACTGCGTATATTTTGAACATAAGTATCCATTAATAATCAACGACTACGTCAACCGTGGCCGTGCAAGATAGCAACCTCCGAAAGATTGAAACCACAGCCTTTCGAAACCTCAAACTTTTCGATTTCCTCCTCCAGCAAAGGCGGCGGCGCCCGGCGGCAGCACATTGGGACGTCATCTTTCCGGTGGTTTCCTCCTTCTTCCAGTTACCCTCATCGTCGCTGTCTGCCCTCGAGAAGGTGTAGCTTCTCAAATACAATTGCCGGCAGGATACACTGTCCACCACCCGAGAGTGGCGGCCAGCGCTCACCGAGCGAATGAACTCGGCGTCGGACTCCGGCCATTTATAGAGGTTCACGTAGGTTGCTCTCACGACGGGGACTTTCACATCTTTTACACAACTTGTTGCGCAAACAGAATCCATTATTTTTTATTGCTATATAGTTTGCTTATGTTTTTTATTTCATTGGTCGTCCTTATATAAGTGTGTGAATGTATAATGCTCTGTATTATATACTCCCTAACGTTACAAAGTTGAAAAATTAAGAGGCCGTTTGATAACACGGTTTTTCACTTATCAGGTTTATCGGTCAACTTTTACACCAAACACGTAACTTTTGCTTTCACGCGCTGAATTGTGTAATAAACAGAAAAAGTAAGGTTGAAGTTACTTTTCTAGCTGTATTGGCTGAAGTTATTGTAGATGACCATTTTAGCTATTTTTACATATAATTTTTTCTTTATTTTATGGGAGAACTATCAAATAAGCCCTCGAACTTTCATAAAAAGTGAAAGTAAGCCCTTTTACAGTAGGCTTTGTCCAGCTGTCACCATTTAGGGCTGTTTCCAGTGTAATTTTTTGATGAAATTTTAGAGCATCGTCTTCGTTAAGTCTAGTTTACCCATACCAAATTTCATCTAAAAAAGCAATAGAGAAGACAGTCAAATGATATTAGGAAGTATACTGCGCTGCCTAACTGCGCAGTTATATTCAAAAATTCATTTGATTGCCTTCCCGATGGAATTTTTACCTGAAATTTGGTATGAGTAAATTAGACTTAATGAAGATGATGGTCAAAAAAATTCATCAAAAAATGCCACTGTAAACCACCACAAATGGCGACGGCCGGACAGAGCCTCCTATAAAAGGGCTTATTTGCACTTTTTATAAAAGTTTGAGGACTTATTTGGTAGTTCTCCCTTATTTTATTAATAAAATATGTTTTAAAATTACTTTTTTCTTAAATCAGCAGAATCAGCCAATACAGCCAATTCAACCAGAACTTCATAAATTTTGGCAGGCAAATCAGACGATTTTTGTGCTACCAAACGGCTCTAAGTAGAAGAAAAAGAGTCTACTTTGTATATAGAGTGGAAATTTGGGACTTCGGGATGGTGGTTGTTTGGTGAGGGTTGCAATGATTTGGCATAATGTGGTTATTAGGTTGGTAACGTAAGAATCGGTTCTACACTTAATGCCCCTCTAATTATTAAGAGTGTAAATGCATACACATGCTCGTTTATTAAAAAACTACTACAATGTGAAAGCTAAATATTATAGAGTATTAGGACAATTCTGACTAAAATCTACCCCATATAATAAGAAGTGTATAAGAAGGATGGGTTTTGTTCCTGAAATAGGATTTATTCACTCCAAAAGTTTGAATTGAGAAAAGTTTTATAGTTCTAATAGATTTGAATAACTCTTATTTTGAGAATAAAATACACTACCTCCGTTCTTTTTCAATTGCAATGGTTTGATTTTCACATTTGTCAACACTACAACTTTAATTGTAGCTATATTTAATTACGTTTTAATAAGCACAATAAAAATTTAATATTTTGGACACCACATTATGAGAATTTTTAAATAAATTTATACTCCGTATATAATAATATGGTTATATATATGAGTAGAAAATTATGGTATATAATAATATGGTTATAAATTGTGTGAATAGTGTAAAAGTCAAAATGTTGCAACTTATAAAGAACGGAGGAAGTATACAATTATTCATATTTGTACACTAGCTTCACTACAAAAAACAACGAATTTGGCCCGTTGACACAGATATTTGACACGAATTAGCCAAAACACGGATTGACACGGGTATTTGACAGAGATTTGGCATGGATGTGGTGCCATATTCCGTGCCAATGCTATTTTGTCACCTTGCACCCATTATCTCTACATCTCTCATGTCATCTTTTAACACATTGTTCGTTTTCTCCGTCTCCCATTGCATCGACCTTTTCCCAACCTCAGTCGGCTGCTCCAGGTTGTGCCCTACCCTCAACTCCCATCGTATTTGTCTTGTGTGGTAATGTGGTGGTGTTGGATGAAAATTAAGCTTTTGCATAAACTTTAGTGTTGGGTATGTGTTTCTGTTTATTTATGCCCATTGTCCGTTGGATACCTCTTGATTTTGATTACATACCAGCCATTTCAGGCTCTCGCATTTGATGCATATATTATGTGCATTCAAAGACATGCATATAGTTCTAGATCTTATCGTTTCTTAACTGTTTGGATATTATATATAGACATGTTAACTGTTGAGTTTCTATGGTCACTAGTGTCTAATTTTTTTGTATTCTGTGATTTTGATATAGCAACCAGATAATAGTGCAGTTTTGGTCACAAAATGTTTATATGAAGATCTTTTAGCTTAAGATTAAATCCTTACTTACCAGCATCATTTCTCATCATAAGATGATCAAGATAATTTTACTAATGGTAAGAGCCCCAATGTACTTACCAACATCATTTCTCTACATGTTTGCTATAAGTATACATATTTGTGTGCATCTTTGAATAGGATGAAGTGTCTTACTTGTTTTGTTGGTGAGATTTGAAGAATTGGCAGCTCAGGGTGTAACTTCAGTGACTGCACATACATAATCCTTGAGGTGACTAGGAACTTTTCTGGATCTTGGAGGCCTTGATAAAATGAGAGTATTAGGTTTAAGAGGTGGAGAGATAGGAATGGATGAAGTATCATCAGAAGAAGAAGGTGTGATAACAGGATCGTGAACATGAAGAGAAGAGTCTGGGACTGGAATGGGATTGGCAGTGTCATTAGATTGGGTAGAGAAGTCTTTGAAAGGAAAGATGGACTCATGAAAAACCACATCTCTTGAAACAAAGGTTTGACATGTTTCTAAGTCATACAGTTTATATCCTTTTGTGTGAGGAGGATAACCTATGAAAATACACCTCCTAGACCTTGATTGAAATTTGGTCTTATAACTAGTGAGATTAGAAGCAAAACATAGGCAACCAAAAGATCTTAGGTTAGAATAGTCTGGAGTTTGATTGTGAAAAACTTCAAATGGTGATTTATTGTTTAGGACCAATGTTGGTAACCTATTAACAATATGTACAGCTATGAGAATACAATCACCCAAGAAAGGTAGGCTAAGATTCGCTTGAAATCTGAGTGCTCTTGCAATATTGAGGAGTGTTTGGTGTTTTCTTTCAGTGATTCTGTTTTGTTGGGGGTGTATGGGCATGTGGTTTGATGAATGATACCTTCATTAGAATAAAATTCTGGAAGATGAAATTCAGTACCATTATCAGTTCAAATAGCTTTGATGTGAATGGAGTATTGTGTTTGTATGAGTTTATGGAAGGATATAAGATGTTGTTTGGTTTCAGATTTGTGTTTCATTAGACAACACCAAACAACTCTTGAGAAGTCATCAACAATGGTTAAGAAATATTGACAACCATCATATGTAGGGATAGAGAAAGGACCCCAGACATCACAGTGAACAAGATCAAAAACTTTCAAAGACTTTATTGAACTTTGAGGAAATTGCAAACTATGTTGTTTTGCCATAGGGCAAATGTTACAAGTTTTATTATCTAGAGAGGAGAAATGTAAAACATCTTTCAAAACGTGAAGTTTGGAATCAGATGCATGACCAAGCCTTTGATGCCAGATACATGATGTAACATTATGAGAGAAAGATGAAATATTTGCTACAGACTTGTCTTGATGAGGGTTCAGTATGTACAGTCCTTTGATCAACTCAGCAGTGCCAATCTTCAATCTCGAATTTTTGTCCTGTAAGACACATTCATGGGCAGAAAATATGAGATGCAGTGATGTTTCAAATAACAATATACTTACTAAGAGTAGATTAACACTGAATTTGGGAACATATAGGACTCTTGTTAGAATGATATTTGGAAAAAGTTCAATTGTCCCAATGTGTGTAACTGAAGCTTTTGATCCATCTGGTAAATGAACAAAAATATTTGAAACAAGACTTGAAGAATGAAAAAGGGACATATTACTGATCATATGATCAGTGGCACCCGTGTCTAGTACCCATGAAGAGCAAGATGGAAGAATAGTATTGACACTGATCATGGATGTATAGAAACTAAGAAAACTACATGCATTAGGTGTTTGATTAGAGTTCAAGGGATTTAGAGGAGTGTTTTGAGAACTAGCAAGATTATGAATCAAGCTAAGCAAGTGAAGGTATTGGTCCTGAGTCACCATTGAACTTGACTTATTATCAACAACATGTGGAGCACTTTCTACCTGGGTGTTATAAGCATTGATTTGTCCTGTTCTCTCCTGTCTTGCAGCATTGTTTTGTGCTTTCTTTCCCTTTGGTTTGTACCCTGTTGGATATCCATGTAGCCTATAGCACTTATCAACAGTGTGATTAATACATCCACAGTGTGTACAAACAACTTTGCTCTCTTTCTTAAAATTGTTAGGTTTAAAACCTCTATTGTTCATGTTATAATTAGCTGTAGAGTTAAGAGGAGTCTGTTCACTGATGTTTCCTCTACTCATCATAGCAATGGACTCAATCTTCAAACCATTCCCCATGCTCCTTTGCATTTCATCTTGCAGTACATAGCTAGAAACTTGATTCAGACTAGGAAAAGGCTTTATAACAAGTATTTGTCTTCTAATCCCAGCAAATGTGTCGTTTAAGCTCATGAAGAATTTAATCGACATATTTCTTTCTTCTCTTTCAATCATAGTTTTCAGGAAATCACATTTACAGCCTTTGACCACTCCACATGTACATGAAATTACAGGATTGTATTAGCTCAACTCTTTCCATAATGAGTCTAGTTTATTGTAGTAATCTGTAACACTTTGATTACCTTGAGTTGTTATGTAGATCTGCTTTTGTAGATCAAAAATCCTGGGGAAATTACCTTGAGAGAATTGTTCGCTTAACGTAGACCACATTGATGCAACAGTTTCCTCGTACAGAATACAATGACCCACCTCCTTTGTACATGAATTCAGAATCCAGGACTGTGTCATGAGATCACACCTCTCCCAAGATCCATAGTTTTCATCATCCGAACTAGGTTTTGGAAGAGCTCCCATAACAATCTTCATTTTATTCTTCGCTCCTAGCGCAATCTTCATTGCTTTGCTCCAAGAATGATAGTTATTGCCATTGAG